GGTAGCGGAAGAGCAGAACTTGATTCCAGCCTCTGGGTTATCACAGGACATTCAGAGATGGACCTAGGGTACCTTACAGAAGTTGCCTTGCTTGAGGATTGCCCAGCTCAGGGAGACCACGCAAGAGTTCTGCACAGCCCTGCTCATGGGAGCAAGCACGTTGTAGCCAAAGCTCTCAGCACAACCGTTGCACCTCTTAAAGCAGAAGGACGTCCAAGAGTGTGAACAGACTTTTCCCTGGACCTGCTTCAGACTGTGGAAACAATTTCAGTTGCAGTTAAAAAGCATCAGGTTACAGACAACAATTTCAAAATCAGAATAATTTGAGTTTAAGGAACTGCTTAACTGGAATTTCACCCAGTCGTGACTGCCTTTTTAAGCTCCTTGGCAGCAAGTGCCCATGAACAGGTTTTGTATTTAACTTGAAGTAGAATAAATATGCCTTTATTTCCAGCTGCTATTTCAAAGGCTGTGGAAATATTAGGAGCAAAGTGTTAGCCAGCCATGCCTCAATCACAGAATTACAAACATGCTTTCAACTGGGCTGCTACAAGGTGTTGCCTCATGCCTTTCTAGAGAGGTGACTTCTAGCTCCCAGTGCTCTCGAGGTTTGATCTAAACCATGCTAAAATGAATTAGACTCTCACTAACTGGGGCGTGGATCCCATACTTAAAATCTTGGTTAATTAAAACAGAAATCATCACCAGAATGCCAGGATACAGCCACGGATGTGTAGGAAACCCAACATAGCCCACATCAGAGAAAATCCTGTAGGAACAGTGCTGTGCCTGTGAGTGCTTTTATTCCTGCATGGTAATTATGTGCTGGTTCACGTTGTTGTTTTGTGGGGAAAACACATTCTTGGACATCAGGAAATAAAAGGCCAGTTTTAATGTGATTTCAAACAGAGAGTATTTTGATATGAATTGATTTATTTCAGCTACAGTGTTGCTTATAAAGCCAGCTGTGATTAGAACTAGTGTTGTACAGAAATGTGAATGACAGACATAGAAATTGTGCCTGTGTGGTTTATACCATTATGACTTAAAGAGGGGACATTCAAACTTGAACAAGGCAGATTTAGGTTGGATATAAGGAAGAAATTCTTTACTATGAAAGTGCTGAGGCGCTGGCACAGGGTGCCCAGAGAAGCTGTGGCTGCCCCATCCCTGGCAGTGTTCAAGGCCAGCTTGGACACAGGAGCTTGGAGCAACCTGCTCTAGTGGAAGGTGTCCCTGCTCGTGGCAGGGGGTTGGAACTGGAGGAGCTTTAAGCTCCTTTCCAACTCAAACCATTCTATTATTCTATGGGTGCTTTTCCAGCTCCGCACAGTTACTGGAAACGTATTAGAGAGGAAATCCTGATTAATGCAGGATACTCTTCTCCTTTGCTGACCATTTAGTTGCTGCTCTGTCTGTCTCCAAAACAGTGTCGAGAGGTGTGTTTTCTCATTCCCAGGCCTACTTATACCTATCGGGACCTGCCAGACGTGGGGAGCCTCTGTGAAACCTTCTGTAATGAGGCCCTGATTCATACCCTGCTCCGATCCCAGGGAAATTCCCCAGTGGCATCATCGGGCTTTGGCACGTGGCCAGAGTCTCAGTAACTTCCTTATTTCTCTCTCCTACATAGAGAATATTCCTAAGCCCTACTACGGCACACGAGAACATAAATCTTGCCCGTGACTATCTTATATGAGTAATTTTTCCAAAGTAAATAAATCATCCCCTTTCCTCTTACCCTGGCAAGCTGTTAACTAAAAAACTGAGAAAATGCTGTTTCATTTGTGAGCCAACTGAAATCATTCCACAAATCTTTAATTCCTTGTTCGAAAACAGAACCAACTGCAACTGGCGGGCAGAGAAAATGTGCCCCTCTTTTTTTCCCCCCCTCTGCCTGCCTTAGTAATGCAACTGCCAGTTTCTGGTTTTGCCTCTGTAGAGTTATATGCCTCTATTTGAACCTTTTGACAAATCGGTTTATTTTCATTCTCCCTCTGCCATAAATTCAATCCATATGTCTTTAAAACATCCTTTCATAGCTGTAACATGGAAAAGGAAGTGGCTTAGCCTCTGTATAGGAGGCTACAGTGTATTTAAAGTGAGCTCTTCTAGTTTGCATGCATCGCTTCTGTTAGCTCTTAAAGCCTTCACTTCCTCATTATTCAGGTTGCAGGGGGCACTGGCAGAGTTTTCTCCATTAATAGTGATGTACAGTGAAGAAGCACAACAGGATAAATGATTCTGTTCTCCTCAAAATATCCAGGAAGTTTTTGATGCAGCTTTACCACCAAGCAGGATGCAAGGAGGATGTGAAAAGGGTAGGAGAGATCAATCCAGCATAAAATATCAAAAGCAAACCCCAAGACAAAGAAACAAAGGTCTTGCACAATGTGCTGCCATTCATCTGGCAGGGGTTTGTCTGACAAGAATACACAGCACCTATGTGACAGGAGGTCACTGCAGTAGGAGTGAAGTATGTCCACATCTGAGACTGAGCTGGGGTCAGAAGGTGAGGGTGGGAAGGAAATGTGGGTCTAAGATGAAGTATATTGGTATGGCTGCACATGAATAAATCAGAACTACAGGATGCAGCAGGGGAAGAGCACAGGGAGTTGTGTCTATAAGAGCCCTTGTCTGGAATCATATAAAATTTGGGCCAGGGTGTACTACTGGAATTGCAGGATAGATCCATAACTGAACACAACTGCAAATCTGGTAGCAACAAGGGTACAGGAGCATTGGCTCAAGGGGCTGCAGGCAGGTTTTGGGAGTCCACCTAACCACTGAATGCAGTGTTTCATCAGATCCACCCCAGGGATGCCACTAGAGGACTCAGGTCCACTCTCCCACCCCAATCTCAGTCACATATCCATGTTCCCCACTTCATGTCAGCTCTAGAGGTCACATTTCTGCCCTTTCCTCTGTGCCACACAGAGCAATCTCTAATTTGCCAACAATGCAAATGAACTGTAGGGATACACACAGAGTAGGATGAGGTCCCAATAACAATTACACAAAACTGTTTGGAAATCCATCATTGTGTTCAGTTACTGTGCATTAATGTTTGTGTGCTAGAATCATAGAATGTTTGGGGTTGGAAAGGACCTTAAAGCTCATCCAGTTCCAACCCCATGACACCCACAGGGACACCTTCCACTAGAGCAGGTTGCTCCAAGCCCCTGTGTCCAACCTGGCCTTGAACACTGCCAGGGATGGAGAATTTACCACTTCTTTTGGCAACCTGTTCCAGTGTCTCACCACTTTCACAGGGAAGAATTTTTTCTTTATATCTAACCTGAACTTCCCCTGTTTCAGTTTGAACCCATTACCCATTGTCCTGTTGCTCCAGTCCCTGATGAAGGTCCCTCCCCAGCATCCTTGTAGCCCCCTTCAGACACTGGAAGCTGCTCTGAGGTCTCCACGCAGCTTCTCTTCTCCAGGCTGAACAGCCCCAACTTTCTCAGCCTGTCTCCATACAGGAGCTGCTCCAGCCCCTGATCATCCTTGTGGCCTCCTCTGGGCTTGCTCCAACAGCTCCATGTCCTTCTTTTGTTGGGGACACCAGAACTGCACCCAGTGCTGCAAGTGTTGGTCTCGTGAGAGCAGAGTAGAGGGGGAGAATTACCTCCTTCAACCTGCTGGTCATGCTAAGAAGATAAAATAGGAGGAGTGTGTGTGTGTGTGTAGTAAATGTGTGTGTGCAATCTAATTATCTTTCTAATCCCTCTGTCATATGGAGGGGTCATCTGTAGAGATGAAAATGTAGTCAACCTCAAAACTTGTGGGTGTAGTTTGGTGTACCCAAAGGTTCCCCATGTAGAAACCACTGTCTGCACATTTGAAACTGCTCACAGGTTCAAAGAGCTGGCATAGCCCATGGGTTTGTTTGCAGAGTTGCAAAGATTGCAGCTACAATTCAGTGGGCTTGAGGTGATCTTCCACACCTCAAAATATCAGGCCTTTCTATCTAACAATCTGCATGTAGCTGTTCCAAAGCAAGCTGTGTGTGCACAGCTGAGTTGTTGTATAAACAATAGCAGAGACTTCACTAAAGCTTTTCATGTAGTTTTATCTCAACTGCAATTTGTTTCTAGTTTTTAAAGGCTGTAGAAATACCCAGCCTTACTCCCTAGAGCCTGGTTTCGCTGCTTTAGCCATTCCAATGGTATTTACAGCTCTGATTTTATTTGAACTCTTCAAAAGACCTTGTGTCCCCCAAGAAAGATGCAAGTGTGTTTAAATTCCCTATTGCTAGAGAGACTTGCTTTTCCTTTCCTGGAAGGTTGCTTGTAACGGAACTGTGTTTGCTCTCATCCCCAGGTGTGCTGTCTCTACCTGCCTACTTCAGCCCATACAACGATGGCTCTGTGTGCAATGATGGACGGGCTGATGCTTATGCCCAGCTGGAACTCCGAACTTTAGAGCAATCTCTGTTGGCAACTTGCGTTGGAAGCATCTCTGAACTGAGTAAGTTTGGGCTGTAGTCAAACCTGGCTTTCTTTCTGTCAAGCAGGAGAGCCAATCCTCTGCTGTTGAGGTCAGTGGGAGTGTTGCCATTGTTGACAGTGGGAGCAGTACTTGGCTAACGTTGTGTAAGATCTAATTGCCTTGTGGTGCTGTTTATGAAAATTAGGTTGTTTCATTAGACTGCTTCATATTTAATCACCTTGGAGATATACGAGACGTGGCTTCTCTAGCCTTTTGGTAGTTAGTGCCAACAGAAGACGGATGCTTCTGCCTAAATGCCTCTGGAGGCTTTCTTGTACATTTGGGGAACAGAGCAGTGGCACCTCCCTCAGCTGGTGAAGAGGCTTCTCTTCATTAGTGTTTGTGCAGTGGAAATGTCCAGGGTGCAGGATATTCAAGGAAAAGCTTTTGGGTTACTTGAAAGACAAAAAGAGGAGGGGAAAGAAAATCTGAGAGCACTTTGGTAACAAAAACTTGTTCAAAACCGTCTTTTTTTAATGCTAACCAAATGAAACGTTCCATTCCTAGACTACTCACAAAGCCCCCTTAAAGTAAACAAAAATGATTTGTGTTTTCCCGCTCTGCTTTTCCCTTGCAACATTTTTGCTGGCATCACTTTCTTAGTCTCCACCATCCGAATGCTAATGAATGCCAGGGCCAGTTTGTGGGTTTCACCATTTATTTTGCAACCTGCCTTAATTTGAGGTTTTCAAATTCCTTTAACACACCTCTATTTATCCTGGAACACAAGAGAACATTTGTAGCATGGGCCTAAGATTGAATACAGCTTCCTCTTTCTCTTCCCCCATCCCTGCTTTGGCCAACTTGGTCATTACATCTAGTGAATAGATCTCCTGATACAGTTGCCTACTTTTTCCTTTTTTTTCCTTAAACATTGCTGCACATTGCCAGAAAAATCAAGAGAGTGAGTGTGCAAAGGAGAAGGAACATTTTTCTGTGCTGGAGATTTGAATTCCAGATGCGTTTTCGCTATTAACCGCGCAGGCTCTGCATTAGTACCAACACTACCCCTGTAAAACATTTAGGTCCTGGAGAATCAGGAGCTACTGAAGTGGAAAGGCAGAGATGCTAGAAGGTTTTTCCATTTTGAAGTGGGTCCTTAAGCAGAATGTACTATGACACAAATGAGTGGCACAGCTTTACACTGCAAACTGAGCTTTTTAATGCACCGTTGATCTGAACCTCTAATAGCGTTATCATGTTTAGACATGCATTAGTTTGGGGGGGAGACTCCCTAACCTGTGTAACACTAGAACCCCATGGGTTCAGCCAGAGGTTGGTTGGTAAATTCAGCATCTTGCTGTCAGATATAAATGAACAAATAATAACTCCCTTAGTATTTCAGAGGGAGGTGTGACTAGTTCGTATGTGGCTAAGTTCAGGGCACTCTCTCAGGAACCACCTTTGTGATGGGGCAACTATTTCAGTTCCATCCTTTCCCAGAATTGTAACTGTAGGACACAATAGAGTAACGTTTCCTGTGAGAGTTTTAGGGGACTGTAAAACATACAGCAACAGAGGATTCTCCCAAGGCAAAAATAGATCCTAGCTATGTATAGTAATCTATAGGAATCATTCAGCTCACTGGTATGGGAGTCGCACTACTCAAAGATTTAGTGTCTGAAGCCTTTATTACAAAGCTCCTGAGAGTTTGTAATGCACCCCAATAAAAGGAGAGTAAACAGGGTGTGCCCAAGGCAAGCTTATTGCACAAAGACCAGCTCTATGTGACTGCATGGCTGCTGTCTTGGGGTCATTGCTCTGTGAACTTTTAAACAATCTGCAGTCTTAAAATCCTGAGTAAAAACTGTAATACAGGTCCCCTTCTTCCAGGCCTCCTCAGGTCCACCACTGCTCCGACACATTGGCTGAAGTTCAAAGACCCAAGAAGACTGAGCAGCCCAAAAAGCTCTTGGATCAAGCTTCTTTACAAGGCTTGGGGTAGATTTCTGGCACAGGTTGTGACAGTGATCAGGCTTCTTAAGGAGAGAGTCATGTCTTGTTATTCTAGAGAAACCCACAGCTAAAGTGAGAATGAGAGAAGCAGACCCCTAAAAGAAGGGATTTCTATATTGAATATAACATCATTAGCTTGTCACAAGTTCCTGGGTAGGAGGGTAGAACATCATAATCCAGTTGAATGACATGGGAACAATCTCATAATATAAAACAGTGGTGCCAGTGATGAGAGTAAAGTATTTGCACTGATGCTACTGGCTTTGCCTTGGGCAAGCTATGCTCCAGGTTGGGCAGTGGACATTATTACAAAGACATCAGCAGTTTAATAGGCAGGCAAGAAACTGGGTATACGTGGTTGGAAAGAGGAGAAAACCAGGATGGAAAACCATCACTGTAAAGATGTTGTTCTGAATGTATGATAACTGCGAGAAGATTCATTCTATGTTTTCTAGCTAATAACTTGTAATTTGAAGGAAAGTTTAATTTCCCATACAACAACCTGCAGAGTGGCAGCTTGAGGACAGCTTACGGCTTGGTGGAGGAAAAAGAATAAGAGCACACAAAAGCCATTTCTCTTAGCTGAGAGACTTCATTTAGTTCAGAAAGTGTACTTAAGAGAACCATGGATGAATAGTAAAGAGATGCTTTTGCATTCTTTCTCTTTGTGCAGGTGATTTGGTATCACGAGCAATGCACCACATGCAGTGTTTGAACACTATCCGCCCAGGCATGAGCCCCATTCGGCAAACCCGGCAGCAGCAACCCATCTCCTGGTCCCCTGATGCTCTCCACACCCTCTACTACTTCCTACGCTGTCCTCAAATGGAATCCATGGAGAACCCCAACCTGGACCCTCCAAGAATGACCCTGAACAATGAACGGTACGTAGGTGATACTGTTAGTAACCGAGGAGTCAGGCTAAAAAGGTCTCCTTCTGTATAGTATCTGTGTGTGCATGGGCAGCTCGGGCAGCTTTGTGGATGCTACCTATCAGGCATCAGTTATTCCGGCAGTCAGGCCAGATTATGTTGTCAGCCTTGCCAAGTTTATGAAGCCCTGGAATTGGAACTGGAAAGTAAGCTGTTTTTTCATGCAATCTTTCCGAGCGAGGCATATACTGTATGCTGCCAACAAGGCTTGTCTAGAGATGCTGCCAAAAGTACATGTGGTTGCCTAAAGCAGTAAAGACCTTACCAAAGAAAATGTTACCTTCTGAATAGCACCAATTAACAATTGTCATCATTCTCAGGAAAAGCAATGTTGTTCACTGTGGCGAGGTTTGAAGGGATTTATGGACATCCTTCTTAAGGATTGCTTCAGTTGATGCTGTGTGTCTGGTATAGAAAGAAATTTATATAGGAAGCCAGTAACTAAACAGAAAATGCAGTGGGTCTCCCTGCCTTCTGCCAGCACCATAACTGACTCTGAAATAGGCCCATTATTAGAGTGGTCAGAAATTTTCCAGAGGGATATTTTTTCTGTTAGAAACCTCCCTGGTTTCCTTCCTGCCCAGCTCCTTGGCTGGCTGCCTGACAGGCTAGTGGCAGCAGAGAGCTGAGAAGCCCTCAGAGCCCTGGCCACAAGTTGACTTCCTTGACAGGTCAGGCAGCTCCTCAGCTCGAAGACAGACTGATAACTGGTTCTTGCAGGGAGACTCAGGCCTCTCCACACTTATTAGGTTTCCCCAGTTTGAAATGCACATTTTTGTGTTGATTTCAGAAATCTTAAATGGGAAATTCTGGTTTCTGATTAACTGCACCCAGTATTTGTGCTAGCATACTCTTTGAATGCCTTTTAGCCTACTGGATATCAGGTTCTGCCCTGGCCCTTCCCAAAAGCAGTCTGTGGTTGGGAAGTTTCACAGTATAGTCATGTGTTGAAGCTGGGGGGGAGGCCACATTTCCTGCATGTTGGAAAGGTGAGCAGGGAAAGGAGAACATCTCTGCAGCTTTGTGAGCAACATGGTTTCTTCTTCCCACCTTGGGCTCTACTTTACTCAGCCACAGCTTCTAAAATTGGTATTAAATCATGGTAACATACAAATAATGCTGTCAGCCTGCGCTTCCTTGCACCAAGCCTGCCACCTGATTTCAGCAGCCCTAAAGGCTTCTTGGAGCTGTATTCATCTCCACTGGAGCTGTGGCTGATGGCTTCATGGCCAGAACCTGGCTACTCGGGATAGAGAAGACCTCTTGAGAATAATAGTAGGTTGAACTGTCCCTTTTTAAGGCTCTGAATTTTGAAGGCCAGGGTGCAGAAAAACATACTGGGTGGAAAGCAGCCTCTATAATTTCAGTCTTGGTAAGTTACATTAGGTTAAGGGAACTTCAAATAGGGAGAAAGATATGAATCTTAAGACCCCTAAGGTCTTTGTAGCTACCTCCACTGGTCACCTGATTTTATTCTCTTGGTTTCTTAACCGTCTTTCTGTACTGTATTGTACAGAGCCCCAGAGTTCTTTCAGAAAGAACAATCTGTGAGCAGAACTCTAGCAGCAGAGAGTGGGAACTGGTGTATGAAGAACCAAGAGGAAATAAGTGAAATAGAGTAAAATAGGGATAGGAAGAAGCTGCTGTTTTGAGGGCTCACTAATCTTAATCAAATGCCCTACCAAGTGCAAGGTTATTTATTTTGCATTTCATGTTTGCACACTGTGCAAAACCTGAGTTTTCATGAGGCCAGATTCAGCAAAGCTGTACCACCAGTTCCCACAGTTGTACAGCTGAAGCTGCTGAGCAGCTTCTATCAGAAATGTAGATTAAGCTTTCTGTTTTGTGTTGTGTTCTTTTCAACTCTCTTAGTATCATGATGTTACTGCAGCAACTTGTTTTGTACACTGAGGATAATAAAGGAGTTAAGTCAGGAGTGCAGTTATCTCCCCAGTTGCTCCCAAACAATGCTTTTCACATGGCTCACCAGAGTTCTTTTGGAATGCAGGCTGCAACTCTATTCTGGTTTCAAATCCACACTAGATCCTATAACAGCTGGTGTAAGGGAAATTTCTGCCATTTTTTTTCTGACCAGTACTTAACTGAAAAGGTAATTAAAGAGGATATATTAAAATGGAGCAAAAACTGACAATAGGTGGGGGATAAAACAGAACCTGAGGACTATCAGGATAAACAATTGGCTTTGAAAAGTATATGAAACTTGGAAATGAAATTAGTAGTGCCCAGTGTACTACAAATGAACATCCAACCCTACATTTCATTTGCTCCAAGGTGTATTTGTAAGTGTCTTATTGCATTGACCTCTATGCATTTTATTTAGCATAGCCAGTGGGATAAATACTCCTAGCAGCAGTTTATACAAGAGGTAGTTTACTCTTTTCTAGCTTAAGAGGAGAGATAGTTGAGGCTGAGTGTGAGATGCTAGACTCGTGGCAGGATAGATGAGGGCACTGATTCACCTAATGTGACTTGGCAAAGCTTTGCAGCCCGGTTCTTTTATTCTTTCCTGAGCTGTGCTAAATCAGCTGCAAACTCTGCATTGTTCTTTTGTGCATTTATGTTCTCTCTTTCTGGAATATACTTGTTGTGTGCACTGCAATCCTAGTTTGTTTTCTACTGAAAAAAACCCTCAGTCACAAACAAGGACAACAACCCTGACCTGTTCTGCATTTGCTTGTGCTTCAGTTCCTAGGCTTCTGCATAAACCTATTGGTGCTGAACGCTAATCTGAAGTTTAGCAAAGAGAGGGATGGTTGGGAGAGCTGCAGACTTGGTAAAACCTGACCTTGGGAAGGTCTGTGAGCCACGTTGCTTCAGTGGAAGGAACTGTAGCTGTTAAGTACGTCTAGAGACGTGAAAACCTACTATCCAACTTGCCTGGCTTTCTGTTGTCTGTTAGCTTTCTGTCTGTCACACTGGGATGCAGAGTGCTATGAAAATCATAACACCGTAAGGTGTGGAAGGTCTTTACTATACTTCAACATGAAGGCAAGCACAGAAGCCTGTTGGAGGGTGTCATATGCCATAAAGAGCTTTTCAAAATGTGGCTGATCTTCTGAATACATATGCAGCAGACTGTATAAGGTATGGGAACATACATGCTTGCAGTTAGGTATGCAAGGCACCCCACTGAACAGAGACAGTTTAAACTCATATAAGCTATGTGCCTTCTCCATGCTAAACACCTTGGCAACTACAGAACTGAGGTTGTAGAGTCCTGCAGGAATGGGGTGGATGTATTTTTGTCTTTAGAGCTTGGCAGGGAGAGGAGCTTTCTGTGTTAGCCTCCAGTATGTGAATGATGTGGGATACCAATAGACTGAAACTCTGGGAAGCTTGTGAGTTGGTTATACCTGGTTCTGATACTTACCTCCAGGCACTGAAGCAATAGGAGGAGGGGAGGCAGAGCAACAGAGAGAGCACTCGGGTATCTTAAGCAAAACATTTGAAGCATGTCCACAGTGAATGCAGCTGCTTGCTGTCTGACCAAGCCATGACCCACTTGGATCCCCAAAATGACATTATTTGCTGCATGGACAATAAACCATCTGCTATTTGATGTCAGATAGGCCACCAGAGGAAGTGTTTTGCAAATACAGAGTGCCACTTGTGCAATTCTTTGGCAAAGGAATTACACCCTAAGGTGAGAACAAGCTGCTTTCCTCAGTAATTATACACCTGAGGGCCTGAAGGCTCAGAGCCTTTTGGTGTCATCACAGCACATCTGTCTTTGTTGCTGCAAAAAGGTGTCTCTGCTGGGCAGTAAGGTATTTTGAGTTTCTAGGAGATCACGGTCTGTATTGTGTCAGAGCTCAGACAGTGGGTTTGGACCATGAAGAGTGAGCAGACATGTGGCACTACCTCTGCTCTGTTTCTGCTCTGGGTTTTTTCCCATTGCTTATGTCAGGCTGGCTGAGCCTGGGAGCATTCTGCAGTGTGAGCTCACGTCCCAGAGCAGCAGAGCATGTTTTCTGGGATTGTTTGGGATTCTGTGACTTGAGAAGGGCCATCGAAAGGAAAATGAAGTTTCTTTCTCCCTTCTTCACTTTTTCCCAAGTGGAATATAAAGCTTTTGTCTTATTTTTAATGGTGTGTCAAGGCAAGAATGCTGTCAGTGATACTTATCTCAGGGAATATTTGTCTGCTCCCCATACAGCACAAATTGAAGTCAGTATTATAGTCTCATTTTACAGCTGAGTGGACTAGTCTACCTTGGGTTAATTTGGCTGAGTGATCCAGCCTTAAAGCTAGAAATAGACATCTTTGATTGTCCTCATCCTATCTCATGGTGATTATCATTGTAAACAGCATTTATTGTAGGAAAGCTAGTGCAATCTAATACCTAAGAATAGGCAAGAAGTTGGATCCTGCTTCCCTGTGTAGTCTTTGGTAGGCTGAGCTGCCACGTCCTCTTTCAGCTACCCTGTTAAAAAGCTATGTATTATGTCTCCCTATTGTTGATGCTGCTGTTCTATAGAATGTTCTAAAAGTAATTCTGGGCTTAGCCACCAGTGCCCATGGATCTGGCCATGCCAGACCTTTCCGAGCTATCCGTGTTACACACGTGCCAAGTTTCACATGTTGTCTGAGTTTGCTGGGTGTCATGGTTTATTTCAAACATCAGTGAGTCCAAAAGAGTTTACATCAGCAGAAGCACACAGACTGCACCCATCTGACTCTGTCAGTGAAAATACAGTAAAACACCAGGGAAATTCCAGAGCTGATGTAGGATTTGTCAGCTGCCAAGAGTAAAATTTGGGGCTTGCCAATTTGACGAAGGTTCACAGCTTTTCAGCTGGAAAAGCTGGGGACATTGCAAGAATCCATCTACAATCACACAGGGGGCTGCCTCATAAGAAAAGAGAGAGCTTCCTTCTGTTTTCCATGTGCAGGCATCTAGAAGGCTTCAGATCTGCTGCTTCTCTAGAGGA